CCCTAAACCCTAAACCCTAAACCCTAAACCCTAAACCCTAAACCCTAAAACCCTAAACCCTAAACCCTAAACCCCTAAACCCTAAACCCTAAGCCCTAAGCCCTAAAGCCTAAACCCAGAAACCCTACACCCTAAATTGTTTTCTTTCATCTGCGCCACCATATAGGGGCGTCGCGAGATGGTGATAACATTAAACAGCGTGTCGTCTATCGACACACACCATACAGCAAGCTCACAAAGCGATAAGCGGAACCAATCTTATGCAAAACCGCCTCTATCGCTGGCAGCGGACCCTCTCTGAACCCTTTCGCAGACCTAGCATAGAACTATCATTGTGTTAATTGTGTTAACAAGGAGAAAAATACCAAGAACCACATGCACACAGTCGTGTCAGCCTTTCGGGCCAACCACACTCACACATCGGCCGGCACATCACATCAGACCGCACCACATGCACTCACCCACACCCACACCGACACCCATATGCTGCACCCACAGGCTGCCATTCGGTCACACAGCTGCTGCGATTCACAGACTGAGCGGTGAGCGATGTGTGCTGAGGAGCAAAACGATCGACGACAGAGATGAATGACAACAGCTAGCACTCAGCAAGCACCCAACTTGAGATGCCCTCCTGACAACACACACACAGAGGGCAGGGCGGCACTCAGCCACATGGCGACAGAGGGGATGTATCGCTCCGCACCCACCACTGCATGTTGGCTGATGAATCGCTCAGCCGCCGCCCTCCACCTCATCTGCGCCACCCTCACCTACCCAAAGCACACACACACGCACGATGTGATGGAGATCGAGGTGGTGGTCTATGTGGTGTGCGTGGATGTGTACCTCCGCCCTCCTCTCCACTGCCGTCATTTATAGTATTACCAATCTCATCGCCGCTGCCATCGTCGGCATCTGCACATACACAGACAACGTCACAGACAACAGAGAGAGAAGGCATATCATCTGTCCGACCAGAGAGAGAATGTGTTTTATACTATTATTCATACTATCATCCATACCATTGTCATCGTCATTTTGCTGTTGCTGCTGCTGTTGCTGCTGCTGCTGTTGCTGCTGTTGCTGTTGCTGCTGTTGCTGTTGCCGTTGCACTTGTCCGTCGAATACGAATGACGCCACCGCCCTCAACACCACGCGAGCCAGCTGAGTGGTGACGGGGAAGCAGTGCTTAAACAGACCACTCCCATAGACAGCCAACTCATTCGTCACGACATGGACATAGACTGCAGACAAATGGAAAGACGAACGCTTGACATTTGACCAGCAGCACTGCCTCTCTGTCACGCTGACCGGTGTTGTTTCCAAATGTCCGAATCTTAACCCACGCGACGAAAGGGTGGCTGCTGTTGGTCAGCACCAGGTATCGAACGTTACCCCCATTCGAGCCGAGTGTGGTCGTGCAGCCGGCCACTGGTATGTGGGGCGACTCGATGAGGAGACCATTCAAACGGCCGCCACCGACACCTCTGAACGGAAAGGCATACACAGAAATGACTTGCAGTGGTATTCCCCACCCAACCCCAGTGAAGCCGTTGGTGTCTTGCCTGTTGAGTATAGTTGATGTGTTACTGGTCTGATGAGTCACGTCGAAGCGGTGGAGGATCAGATACTTCGCAAATGACGATACTGATGCATCGGTGAGCTGACCACCGAATGACACCCAATGGTTGCGAGGAACCGCGTAGACGATGCTGCTGCTGGTCACCGGTGGGTCGTGTGATTGTCTGTGCTGCTGGTATAGACGGACGGCAGGAAGGGGCGGGTCGACTGTCAGTCTGAAACCGGGCTCGTCGATGATCGCCCGCACCTCACCGTTGCCGTGCAGGAACAGCTGCAGGCAGGTGCCGCCACTGAAGTGGACGTGGCGGCCGACCATCTTCAGCTGCGCCAACACACGGGGAGCCGACACATAGGCCTGAACACACGATCACACACACAGACACACAGAGAGAATGAGTCCCTCTTCGTCCTCTCCCCTCTGTTTGCCGGCTCACCGTTATGTTTGCGTCTGTCTTGATATCAGCGCCACGGAGGATCACAGGCAGCTCACAGTTCCCGCACTGCCCCGCCAGCTCAATCACCTCGCTCATCTCGCCCCAGCCGCCCACCTCCACCACACATACAGCCGCCAGCAGATCATGTGTGGCGAAGTGGTCGTCGTCGAACCGCAGTAGCTGCACTTGCTGCCCATTCACCGTCCGCCGCAGCCCCGCCTGTGAGCACAGCGAGTGGCTGAGCCGATCTCTTAGATGGGCCGCCCCGAAGAGCTCTCTGAGCCACGTGCAGGTGTCCCTCAGCCGGACGACGTCCTTGACGCTGAGGAGGTAGCGGCTCCTCCGGCCCACACAAACATATGACACGGGGTGCTGCTGCTGCTCGTGGTGCTGCATGGGATGGATAAGTCAAGACGGTCAGATGACTGAGGCGCTCGACGAGAGGCTGCACAGAGCGACAGAGCCGACACAGGATTGTGTGCATCGAGCATGCTGCTCACAGATCTGTGTGCTGCTCACCTCCTTCGATTCTCAGATGGACAGATCAGAGAGAGGTCAACGAGTCACCATCAGCAGCGGCAGATGAGGCGCCATCGCTCCTCAGCCACACTGCACCGATGGGCCGACAGACACACAGAGAGAGAGGCACACAGATAGACAGACAGACAGACAGTCGGCTGATTCTGGTGTCGTGTGTCACATCCCTCCCATCTGGGTGTATGTGTTTGTGTGTGTGTGTGTGTGTGGCTGTCTGCCTGCGCACCGCTGCGGTGTTCGAGTGCAGTCGGCGGTAAGTCACCTCGGCGCCCTCAGCTGCACCAGTGTCTGTCTGTCTGTCGTCATGACGGACGGCCGCACCCACACTCACTCACTCACTCAACAGACAGACAGACCGACAGACCGACAGACCGACAGACCGACAGACCGACAGACCGACAGACAGACAGACCGACAGACATCTGCAGCACAGCACACAGAGCAGAGCGGCCGTCTCACATCATGGTGATGCTCGAGGTGTCCCTCACTCACTCACTGACCTGACTGACTCGCCACGTGACAAGCCAAAGTGGACGCCAAAGGACGACGGATCTCAGCACACAGCCGTGAGGAGGGCTGGGGACCGAACCGAAGAGCCGGAGATTCAACCAGGGGTCAAAGGGTTTGTTACCCTAGAGCCCGAACCCTTGACCCTAACCCTCGGGTCAAGGCTGGCTTTTTTTCTCCATCGGCTCCATCCATCATGGCGGATCTCATCATGACCATCATCGACGATGAAGAAGATGAAGCGCGGAAAGATCAGGAAAAGCCAACGGATGATGCCTTGCCCAAGAAGGCAAAGCGGAAGGCAAGCAAGAAGGGCAAGACAGATGAGGCGAAGGCACAGCTGAAACAAGAAGAAGATGACGACGAAGGACTCGCTCTAGACGTGAGAAACGATGCACAGCAATGTCGGTGGTTGTCACTCAGTCAGTCTGTCTGTCTGCATGTGTGTTGTTCAGGCTGGCTTGGGATTCGACGACAAGGCCACCCTGCCATGGGAGAAGAAGAATGCCGCAAAGAGGAAGAAAGAGGGCGACAAACACCACCTGTCAACTGAGGCGGCCCAGCATGATGAGAATGCAGACAAGGCAGCAGCGCCTGAGAAGCATTCCTCCTCTGGCAGAGGCGTTGGTGAGCGGACATCCACTCCTGCGTCGCTGGCGTCGGGCACTGGGTGGGTCGACCTGCACCTCAGTAGACCACTAATCAAGGTAGGTGAGGCGGGAAGAGAGATGGCGCACACACCAAACAATCAGACACACGTGTGTGTGTGTGTGAGTGTGTGTGTGGTTGCAGGCTCTGAATGACATGGGCTTCACGGAAGCGACCCCCATCCAAAGAGATGCGATACCACACGCACTGCAAGGCAAGCACCTCCCTGACTGAGGCATACGCCTCTCCCCTTTCTATGCTGCCTTGTCTTGTGTGTGTGCAGGGAGGGACATTTTGGGCACGGCCGAGACGGGATCGGGCAAGACGGCCGCATTTCTGCTGCCGACCCTCGAGCGGCTGCTCCAGAGCCCCTCCGTGAGGATGAGAAAGGTGAGGGATGGGAGGCATTGCAGTGCAGTGGGTGTCTTGATATGCCTGACGTGTGTGGCTCTTCAGTCGGCGGGTTCATCGGGTCCCGTGGCCACTAAAGTTCTCATCCTCCTGCCCACACGGGTGAGATGAGAGTGAGCACACACCCCACCCGTTGATGCATCATGTGTGTGTCGGATGCTGATTGCAGGAGTTGGCTCTGCAGTGTCACGAGATGCTGCAGTCACTGGCCAAATACACACCCATCACATCCGTCCTGGTACTCAAACAAGCCCACACACTTCTCCACCGAAATATATAGTGCGTCGATGTCTTCCTTTGCCATTCACTCAGGTGGCCGGCGGCTTCAATCAGAAGGCCCAGGCAGCGACGCTCAGACATGTGAGTGGCCGACGTGACTGATGCATGGCCTGTGTCATCCCCCATTCCTTCTCCTTGTGTGTGTGTGTGTGTGTGTGTGTGTCATTTAGCAACCTGACATGGTGGTGGCCACGCCTGGGCGGATCCTCGATCTGCTCCTCAACTCGCCTGTGAGCACGACAGACATTGCAATCGTTGCGCATCCATGTGATGGATGCGTATGTGGTGTGTGTCGGTGACCTCCCTGCCTGCTTCAGAGCACCCACATGGAGCTGCTGGAGATTGTCATCCTCGACGAGGCAGACAGGCTGTTGGAACTCGGATTCAAAGAAGAGGTACTTGCACACACACACACGCACACACACACACACACACACGTCTGCCCTCTCCCATTGTGGGAGCTCTCTTATCTTGTTGTGTGTGTGTTGATTGATACTTACTTAGTGTCTGGCGGTGTTGCGTCACTGCAGCCGGGGCCGGCAGACAATGCTCTTCTCCGCCACTCTGAGCGAGGAGGTCAGCGACCTGGCCGCACTCGCACTCACACGGCCCATCAAACTGCGAGTCAGCCAACCCACCGCTGTCGCACGCACACTTGACCAGGTCAGGAGGGAAACAGACAGACAGACAGGCAGCGAGGGAGGGAGGGAGGAAGGGAGGAGGGAGCCGTGAGTATGGCATGTGGGGTGTGGTTGTGGTTGCAGGAGTTTGTGAAGGTGCCGTCTGAGTCTCACCGGGAGGCTCTGCTGCTGCACCTGTGCACCAAGGCCTACACCAACAACGTCATCATATTCTTCCAGGTCGATAGATAGTCAACCGCCACATACACACACGGCCTGCAGGGACCTGCACACACGCACCGCATACATACATGTCTGTGAGTGTGAGTGTGACGTATGTGAGTGTGTGTGTAGACCAAGAAGGCGGCCCACCGTGTGGCGCTCATTTTCAGGCTACTCAGTAAGCAGACCACACACACGCCATCAGTCTTTGCATTCCTTGCGCTCGTGTGTTTGTGTATGGTGCACCCACAGAGATACCGAGTGCGGAGCTCCACGGCAACCTGGCGCAGACACAGCGCGTCGAGTCGCTGCGAAGGTCAGTCACTCAAGCCGACACACACATCCATGTGCTCTCATGGCTGGCTGTGTGTGCGGTTCAATGCACATCAGGTTCCGTGCTGGCGAGGTTCCGTTTCTGTTGGCGAGTGAGTTGGCGTCTCGCGGGCTCGACATAGAAGGGGTGGAGACCGTCATCAACTTCTCACCTCCACTCGACACCTCAAGGTCACCCATTTATACCCACAGACACACACACACACACACACACCCGCATGCCATCCATCCCATGCATCTGTGTGCCCCCATGGCATGGATGTGTGTCCATTGCAGGTACATCCACCGTGTGGGTCGGACGGCCCGTATGGGTGCGGAGGGCCGTGCAGTGACGCTCTACGTCGACAGCGAGAAGCTGCAGATCAAAAGGATCGCCAAGGCTGTCAGCGGGGCACGCAGCAAGGCATCTGCCACCGATGACGGCGGCAAACTCTTCCAGAGATCCGTATGCACTCCCACTCCCACACCACACAACACACAACACACAAATCACTCACGACACAGAGGTATCTTAAAGCGTGGATGTGTCTGTGTATTTAGGTGCCGCGTGAGAGTTTGGATGAGTGGCACGAGAAGGTCAGGTCGTTGGGTCCGAAGATCGCCGCCATTCTGGAGGAGGAGAAGGTGGAGCGGACGCTGCGACTCGCGGAGATGGAGAGGAACAAAGCCGAAAACCTCACCATCTACAAAGGCACACACACACACACACACACATCCATCAGTACCCTCTCTACATCCATTCATTTCTCTCTGTGTATGCAGATGAGATCGCGGCCCGCCCCGCCAAGCAGTGGTATCAGACGTCCCGTGAAAAGCAGCAGACCAAGATAGAGTCCAAACGACAGCTCAAACACATCACGGCGCAGCAGCAGCAGCAACAGGAGGCGGACGACACACCGCCGTCCAAGAAGCGCAAGACACGACAACAAGACGAAGAAGCGGGTGGAGAGGAGGACAGTGATGCAGACGACAACGGCTCCGATGGCGATGAGGATGCCGACAAGTACGGTGATGATGATGCTGCGTCCCCCCGCCCAGGAAAGGCGGCCAGCAGGAGGGCTGCCGAGGGGGAGAAGGGCGGCGGCTCCAAGGGCGGCGGTGGCAAGAAGACAAAGGCCGAGAAGAAGATGGAGATCAAGTTCAAGTCGCAGAGCAAGAAACAAAAGGAGAACCAGGACGCACTTCGCAATCAGAAGATGGCCGCCCGCAGCGCCAAGAAGTGAGTGGATGGATGACCCACAAGGAACACACACCACATCACAACATCCCATGACACATCTGTGTATGTGTGTGTGTGTGTGTGTGTGTCTGTAGGGGACTGAGGACACCGCGCATCAACAAGAACGATCCAGATGCAGACCACAGCCGCTCCCACAGCTGGCAGAGGGGCGGCAAGGACAAGAAGAGCAAGAAGAAGAAGAGGGGCACCGGGCCACAGGCAGACAAAGCGAGTGGGGCTGAGGGTGGGGCTGCGGCGTCGGGGAGGGGTGTGGGCGTGGGTGGTGAGATGGGTGGGTACAAGGGCAAGAGGAAAGTGCTGGGGAAGAAGGCATTCAAGAGCAAGAAGAAGTATAAGCGGCGATAGGCAAACCGTTGTGTGTATGGGATGGGTGGGGGATGGGACATTGTGGCGATCGATGGTGGACGCGTGTGTTCAAATTCCTAACATCCATTTTCTCTGTTAACGGAATCTTCCACACACATACGGCAAGCTACTTTTACTGAAGTAGGTGATGTGCTACACGGATGGACAGCCATTACGGGGCAAACAGGGTCAGGCTACCTGCACAACACACAACCGCCACACACACACACATGGATCGATGTGGTCCTGTCCCTGTGCTCATCAGGCTCACGTTGTTGGCTCTTTGCCATCCCTCGCTGCTGCAGACCGATCGACAAAAACCGCCCCGGTCGCGCAACGGTGTGGCTCATCATGCTATGTGGCTGCTGCGGCATTGGAGACGCCCGTCGCATGCTGGCGCCCGCCGGGATTGGTGTGAATGGCCGGGGGTGGACGCGTGGGGTCACATAAAACATCGATTGTGTGTGTGCAGAGGGGGACCGCAGAGGGGACGGGGGCATGGCGACGATGGCCTTGCCGGGCAGGAGGCCGATGCACTCTGTCTGCTTTTTGTTGAGGTGCATGCTGTCTCCCTGACGGACCACCGGGTGCTGCCGGCCGGTGAGTGGGCTGTGAAAGGCCACACAAGGGGGCGAGGGAGCCGCAAAGGAAGAAGACAACCAGGAAGCGTGACGTCGCTCGGTGTGATGGCCCAATGTCGCCTTATCGTCTTCCTTCTTCACGCCTGGGAGAACTCTCACGTGTGTGGCCGCCGCCCTCGTCGTCCTGGCCATTCGAGACACATCCATAGCCTTCACCTGCGACATCTGGCGGCTGCTCAGCGAGGAGGGAGACACGTGTCGATGCACGACCGAGGGTGTCGATACGCAGCAGCTGGCTGAGGGGCAGGGGTGGGATCAGCAGAGGAATTGGCGTGACCTTCGGCTCTCTCGGGCACGCCACTGACTCTCTGTCCTGCTGCTGCAAAGCGGCAGGCTCGGTGCCCTCATCCTCTTCCTCGTCAAAAGTCGGCGCTCTTGTGGTAATCACATCGCTTGATCCGCGCACCAGTCGGTTGCCCCTCCGATGTCCATCCTTGCCCTTTGCCGTGTGGGTGAGGTCGTTCTTCCAACTCACATTCGCAGAATCGGTCTGTGTCGAAGAGTCCTGTGAGCGGCCAAGTGGTCTGTGTTCATACAAGCCAGGACGGCAGTCGACGGGCGCACGCAAGAAGCACGGCGACAGTCCTCTGTGCAAACTGACCTTGACACTGCCACTTGCTGGGCCAAGAGAGGGACGCGCTGCAAGTCAAGGCACAGGGCAACGTTGACTTGCTGCAGTTGTTGCAACTCTGCCACCTGCTCTGCCAGCAGCTTGTCAAATTTCGAGCATGTCTGAGACAAGACACAGAAGTGGATTCAATTTGATGGGTGGGTTCGTTTGACAAACTTGGGCCATTTCATCATTCTGAGCGGTGACGGTCTTGACGCGGGCTCTCATTGCCTCCAGCTCCTCACGGAGGGAAACCAGCTGATCCTTGGACGACCTCAGCCCTTCCATGTTTCTCGGGGGAAGTGTCAGTGGAATCCTCCCCGAAGGCTTTGGGGCAATATTGCTTTGGGGGAGCAAGTGGCGTCACGATGGCGTGGCGGAGACACAAGAGACGAGGCCCTTCAGTCTCAGATCGCACGCGTGGGGGCCAGAGCGAAGGCCCCCAGGCGTCTTTCAAAGTTCCCCCCTTCTCTCGCGAAACCAAGGCGTACGCACGTTCTGATGGCGACTATCAAGATGGATGGTTACCCTTCTGGGGCCCCGAAGGCAAAGAGAGGCCATCCCGGCCGAATCGTCACCGACAGGGAGAAAATGCTGATCAAAGGATGGACCAATCGGTACTGTCAGACATGATGATCTGTGAGTAGTGCATTGCCCTACTGCTATTTGTTCAGATTGGCGTTGAACCGATGTGTTTCTTCGCCGCCAGCCGTGAGTCAGTCAAAGAGCCGGCTTCAAGGCCCAGTTCAAGGCTTCATTCCTGCATCCACGACTGTGTTGTGTGTGTTCAGGCCAACCGCACCACCCGTGGTCAGTATCTGACTGTCGTGGAGATCGCATCTATCACCGACATGCAGCTGCCCACACACCTCAACCCGCCATCGATGATGGTACACATTGGACAGAGCCACGACCATGATACTTCTTTGAAGGATCTTTCCTGCCTCCTTGCAGGGCCCCACTCAGTCGCTGCTCGTGTGGCTGCAGTGCAGCCTCGTCCACCTCAGCAGCGGAACTTTCTATGGGCGCACAGTGGCCACCCAACGCACTCAGATCAAGGGCGGCAGACAGAGAGGGGAGGGGCAGGCGGGTGCAGGCGTCGGTGTTGGGCCGCTGCCACCAACCAATGAGGTCATCCAAGTGGATGTGCAGCAGGTGAGTGAGACAGGAACGCATCCACGAGTATGAGGTGCCTCATGTGTGTGTGTGTCCATGTGTCTGTTTGTATGGCTTCGATCAGTCAGTGGTGTTCCACACGAATGTCGAGGACGTCGACAGCCGCCTGTTGATCGAAATTGTCGCACAACCGAATGACACGTCGCCAAGTGAGACAAGAGATACATAAACAACACATGGATCACATCCACCCCGTCTCGGCTCCTGCCTTCAATTATGTACCAGATTCGACTTACAGCGAGCCCGTGTCGCTCGGCTGGACAATGCTCGAGTACCTGCACTCTCCCAAATCACGACCGGCAGCCCCCTCAGCCTCACGTGTTCTCGCTGGCACACCGCGGCTGCTGGCTCTGTCCGCCACACACGTACACAACACAACACAAGCATGTCTGCACCCACAAAGAGAGAAAGTGAGGGTACATTCATTGACCATCCACACATGCATTGCAGGCCGCCCCATCGATCATCGACGGCCTTCCCTCCGTCGCCACGCTCACCACACTCACCTACGAAGCTCCCCCACCATCCCTCGCCCCCGCAGAAGTGTCAGCACCCGACACAGCCCCGCGGATCATGCCGCCGCGTGAGGCCATGATGACGCTTCTTCCAGCCGACTGCCCCTATGTGGTGGGCAGCCGGCTGCCCGGCCTGGTGGAGGATGGCAGGAAGGGCAGAGTGGATGGCAAGGGCGTGTTGGGGCGTGTGGTGCCGTGCCTGACGTGCGGGTGCTCCGTGGAGGATGTGATGCTCGTGCGTGAGACAGACAGGAGAGAAACTAGACAGCGAGAACACACACCCTTCTCTGATTTTTGCAGGAGGCGGGTGATTTCCGGTGGTGGGATTGCTTCCTTGTGTCTCTCAGGGAGGTCCACTACAAGTGAGTTAACATGAGAATCACACATACACATCGAGACACATGCAGGCATTGTCTCCTCTTTGCCAGGATGATGAGCGGCAGTATCGATGAGCGTCAGGCCGACTTGGGTCCCAATGCGGTGACCATAACGCAGCAGTGCATCTACTTCGGCCTCCACAACGGGCTGCACTTCCTCACCAGCCCCTCAGACAACGCACTGGCCGTCCACCCAGTCGGCCAACACCAGCAGCCGCAGCAGAGCCTGGTGCTGCAGGCGCCGTCGGCACTGCGGTTGAGAGACGTACCGTGTGACGCCGATATTGCTATTGTCTATGAGGTGGTGGCCAAGGTGAGTCAGGCCGTATCGGAAGGGAGTGCACTGCACACGCATAATAGCTATACGCATTTATTATACATATACATACACATACAGACATACACATACATGTATACATATCTGTATGTATGTATACATGTATGTATGTATGTATCTCCGTGTGTTGTGTGTCAGGTAGAGTTTGAGATAGGCGGGTCGTTCCAGGGCCAGCCTTCCGTGCCGGCGAGAAGAGAGCATGCCGACGTCAGGGTGGGCTGGGGACTCATCTTTCCATTCCGCCTTCCGAGACCACTCGTGCAGGCCGCCATGACAGCAGACCCACACAAAGGCATCCTCCTTGAAAGGTAAACAACACAATACACGATGCAGAGGCAGGGAAAACTGATATGAAGGGCTAGCTTCTCCCTCCCTGCCAGGTCGTTGTTCCACGGCCCAGGTGTGGGTGTGAGTGGCCATCGTGTGTGGCGGCGGCCGACAGAGATGCCGCCTCTCACACTGTCCTTCCGTCTAGCGGGTGAAATCCTCAGCAAGCTGCAGCAGTACAGCATTCCCATCGAGCTGGACATCGACACAACCGAGGATACAGAACCCCCATCAGCACACTTGACCACCCCACAGGCACCACCCACACCAATCCTCCCGCCGTCAACGCTGACCCGCGGCCCCCCAGCACCCGTCATCCGACCGCCAGCGTCGCCGTCATTCGATGAAGGCATGAAGGAGCCGTGGCAGCAACAACAGCAGCAGCAGCAGCTGCAGCAGCCAGAGAGGGGGGAAGAGGATAGGGGCGGGGATTATGGTGTGCCTGCGCCTGTGGCGACTGCTGCTGCGACTGAGAGACCGCCCTATTATGTCGGTGAGAGAGGCGCCTTGAGGGACTCAGCTGTGCAGGTGGACAGCCTGCGGCCTGGCCAAGCGGTGCAGCAGGACGAATGGATACCCGAGATGGCCCCCCCGTCTCTCCCCTCACACCCACCACAGCAGCCACCGCAGTCACCCCCTTCCACTGCAAGGCAGCTCACGAAAGATGAACTGGAACAGTGAGCTGAGACAAGACATGACATGGCGCGATCATCTTTTCCATCAAGTGCCATTTCTGTGTGTCATGTCTGTCTGTATATGGTTGATCAGGTTGGCGGCCGAGGGCGGCTCCCCCTTCTCGTATCTGAACGCCCTGCTTGCCCCCCGGACCCTGCCATTTCCCTCACCATTCTCGTGGCGCAAGGAGATCACCGACACGCTGCAGAGCGACAGCATATCGCTCCACTTCCTCGCTCTCCGATTCAAGTCCCCCCACGTGGTGCCGCCATCACATGGGTCCACAGACACCGCCAGAGTGCACCTCAGTCTGCGGTTCTTCTGCTTTGGTGCGCAGAGCATACATACCTTCTTGTGTACAAGCCAATGTTCTATGTGATTCGCAGAGAGGAGGAGCACGGCGGTCGCTTTGGTGCCGATTGATGTGGAGAGCAGGGGAGCGTCTCCCGTGCTGTATTGTCTGAGAAGTGAGGGGAGCGGAGAGGGGCTGCTGGTGGAGTTTCCCCTGAGAGACATCGAACGGGGAAGAGAGGGCACGATGGTGCACCTGGCCCTCTGTGAATACTTGCTCAAGGCACAGATGCAAATCGAAGTAAGTGAGTGGATCGGTGTCGCACACAGACACAGACACAGTCAGAGACAGAGACAGAGACAGAGATAAGAATGTCTCGCTTTGTATTTTTTCACAGCTGTGGCACTCCGACGGCGGTTTCATATTGGCGTCCACTCGGCTTCCGCTGCACCCCCTAATTCGCCAGCAGCAGCCCACAGTGACACACACCATCGAGGCCATTCTATTCGACCCCCTCAACCACCATGCCATCGGCACTCTTGCCCTGTGCATCACCAACAGGGGCCGGGAGACACAACAACAGCCACCACCACCCCTTGTTCGCACCAGTCCACCCAGCTATGTGACGATCCGGCCGGCGAGCCTGAGACAAGAGGCCGAAGAGCGGGCTCTAGGCACCAAGTTGGTCAGCGAGAGGGCGAGAAAGGAGAGGCGTGTGGAACGGTTGTATCTGGAGCGGACGGGACACACACCGGCGAGGGCGAGGGAGGGAGAAAGGACGGACTCCGACCTGATGGAGGTGGTGACGGCACTGAGAGAGGAGAGGAAACCGCAGCTGATCCTCAAACAGCTGAGAGACGCGAGTGCAGCCACAGGAAGGCCCAGCGAGACACGCGTGAGTGAGGATGGAGCATTACACACACAAACGGTCGGACGCTGTCCTGCATGTGTTTCCTGTGTGTATCAGAACGTGGTGGCCATCACTGGCCAGCCATCTTTCTTCTATGTGGAGGTGGACAACAGCTCACAGGCAGACATCCGGTGCAGAGTCACCATCAAACCGACAAACACCGACCCCCCGTTCCTTTCCCTGCCCGAGCAGACGTACGCCCCACCGCTCACACAGACCCCTTTATTCCACCTTGACAGCGACCGACAGAAATCCCCGTCTACCCTGCAAAGTGCTGCCGAGCGGGCATTCCACTCGGCTTTTCACGGCAGCGGCATGCAAGTGGTGACCGACCCAGAAGAGTGGCGGTGTCTGGTAACTGAGAGGGACTTCCCCGCGCCACCAGGCGGCCGCTACGATGTCTTTGAGCGAGAGGGGGGCGGCGGGGAGGCCGTGTGTGTTCAGCTGAAGGCGCACGAGCAGTGTGCTGTGCCGATCAGGTGCTTGTGCTTGTGTCTTGGAGAGGGTGGTGTGGTGGGCGAGGGGAAGGAGGGCAGGTGTGTGTATGAGGTGCTCATCGACCGGCTTGACGGGGCACTGCTGCACGACATCCGTGTGGAGGTGGCTGTGCTTCCGCCGCCTGTGGACCGGACAGTCAGGCACTTTGCCAGAGAGGCGACGCCCATAGAAATGGACCTCATGCTGCCGGCCCCTCTGCCAAGAGAGTCGCCCTTCTTCACCTCTCGCACCAACCACAACACACAAGGTATGGACACAGTGAAGGAGAGGCAGGCAGACAAATAGGTCACATGTGTTCCAATTGCAGGGCCTCCTTCCCAGTGGTACGCAGTGCACTGCACTGACTCTTCTGTCGCCCTCAGCTACCCGGGCCGGTCGACGCTGCACCTGCAGATTGGCCACATACCATCACGCACCAGAGGCGTACTGGCTTTCTACTTGGTGTTGTATGGCGATAAGGGGCAGCTGCTGAGCGGTGCTGCGCTCGTATGGGAGATACTGGTCAGTCAGCACACCACAGCACACCGTGTATGTATGTCTGTCTGCACATATATTACTGTTGCTGAACCCTGGCAGCTTCACGTGTTGCCCCACGAACATCTGAGTGGCACCATCGGTCAAACCTTGACCAAGCCGCTCTTCGTTCCGCCCACATCTCCATCCCTGACCTTCTTCTCGTCGCTGCCGTCGTTGGTCGGCGTTGGTGGGCGGCCAGATGCGCCGCTAATCGAGGCTACTCCACTGCGTACGGGAACACACCGGGCGCTCATTCAGGCTATGACGAGGCCACGAGGTGGAGAGGGAGGGCAGCAAGGGACCCTCAGATGGGTGGGTGGCTGCAATCAGTCGATGTCTGAGTCGTATATGGTGAATGTCTTCTGTCTTTGTGTTTCTCTGTGTAGGTGGTTGAAGTGGAGTCGTCGACCCCTCGTCTATCGCGTGCCTACAGTATGTCTCTGCCATTGCGCTCGCCCGTCGCCATTAGGAGGCGACTACAGTACACAAACACAGTGCCAGCGGGAGATGACGAGCGTGGCGGTGGCAGACCGGTCAAGTATCTCCTCAGAAGTTCTGACCCGACTCTGATGGAGGTGAGCCGCACAGGCGCAAAGAGACTAAGATATACGACATGGAGTCTCAGAGAGACATGGCGAATTTCGTCTGTTCAGGTGATGACAGGTCAGATCGTTCTTGGTGCTGGGGAGGAGGTGTCCATCGATGTGGTTTTTGCACCGTCATTGGCACTGCCCTTGCCTTCTCCCATACTGGAGTCACGCAATGGTGACGCCCCTGCTGTCAACGTATTTATTTTGATTTCATGTGCTGCTGATGAAAAGATCAAGGTCGGAAAGAAAGACAATCACACGAAATCTGCCAAAAGCGCATATGTCGTTCTCCCTCTCGCTGTGGGTACTGCAGGATTGCCGGTTGATTCGTGTGAGCTATATAGAATGATACTATTGGCAGAGTCTGCCGTCAATGTTGGGTGACATCCATTTCTTGTCAGTCTAAACCTTTGAAGGATGTGGAGGTGGTGTTGGCTCTGTGTCGCATCTACCTGTATCCCTCCGTGTCTATGCCCTATGTTCAGCGTCGCGAGATGACTGCTGCTCAAATGAGTGGGTTGGTCGCTTCATGGCCCATATGGACAGCCCGACAGACCGACAGCAAACACGTGTGTGGTGTGCGTATATGCAGTATTGTCCGTCCGTCGGTATGTGAGTACACACACGAAGGTCAGCTGCTCAGGTCACTCCTTCCTTGATGTGTCATCTATCCGTTTGGTTGGTAAGTGTGGGAGGTTAGTTCAGTTCACAGGGCTGCCCGTTCACGCATCTACATCCCACCCGTACGTCACGTCATATCACTGCACTGATCCGAAGCTCATCTGTGGCTGCTCCCTCGGCACCGCTCGACCGACCCGCATCACAACATCCGCCAGTTCCCGCTTGCCGACGGACACGATCCGACTCTCTGACGGCACACACACACAATCATGCACAGAGGAGAGAGAGAGGCAGTAGCTGCTCTGCTTACGGACTTGTGAGTCCGACGGCCTGAATCTGCGCCACCATGTTCGTAGCGGCCTCCTCCGCACTCTGATCATCGTCATCATACGCCACTGCAATCACCACGGCGTCGGGGTGGCCGCCACGGGCATCGAACTCCCTGTACACACAGACATACACACGTACAATCACACGCACAGATATTACCACCAACAGGTCTCACCACACCTGATCCGATCCAGGTCAGCCGTAGTATGCTCACCCTTCTGCAGAGGAAGACACACAAGTTATATCTACCTGTTCCCTTTAGTGTCTACTTACCTCGAATACCTGCAGGCATCTGGGTAGCTGTTCGTCGCGGCCTGGCGACATGTCGATGACGTTGACGAGCTCCCACATGATGGGGTCTGCACCGCCAGCGGCGACCAGCTTGTCCAGCAGCCGCTGAGCACTGTGTGGGACAACATACCTGACAGACAGGATTGTGCAGGCAGGCAGGCAGGCAGGCAGGCAGACAGGCAGTGCCTGGGAAGAGCACAGAGTGCGTACCCGTGGCGAGGATCACTTTGGGAAACGAAGTCGATGTCAGTAGGTGGCGCGATGCGATGACTGCACCGGCAGGGACACATCCATCCATCCATCCACGTATGTATCGCGCGCGCGCGTGTGTGTGTGTGTGTGAGAGAGGGGAGAGGGAGAGGGGCTTACATGACGGGGTTGCCCTCCCGGGTGTCGACGTCCTTGACGAACGGGTGGCCTCGCAGCTCGTCAGCGGAGGGGCGGCCGGCCGGTTCGACACACATGCACCTAAGTAAACAAGACACATACCTAACACACACCTAGGTCTGAGAGTGTGGTTATTCACTTATCGAGAAAATCGCGAAACTCGTCGCTGAAGCCCTGGAGCGTGAGGCCCTCCGACCCGGGGCTCTGCTGCAAACACGCGGCCGCCTGAATACATTCAACAACCCACAAATGTACACACATACACACACACGCATCCAGAGAGGTGTCTGTCTGTCCTCCTGCCGTCCCCACCCTCCTGATCCTCTGTGCAGTGATATCCCCCTGCTGCGAGAAGGCCATAAAGGGCAGCCGTCCCTCCGCCAAGACAATGCACACCGTGCCGACCGCCCAGATGTCAACCTGAATGCATTCCACTCATGCACACCCACACACACGGGCACTTTGCGCTCATGTGTGCTGCGGGCGGCTGGTTCAGTGCTGCGTACCGACCGATTTGGTGTATGAGTGGGGGCGCTGGCTTCTCAAAACGGCCGTAAACGGCCACGCGCTCAGATCAAGCATCTCTGGCGCCATCAGACACATTGCTCTTGACATGCCTGCAGGGCACAGGGAGAGAGAGAGAGAGAGGAATCTTGCGTGTGTGGCCCTCCGTGTGTTGTGTGTCCTCACCTTGCACGGGGTTGGGTGTTGCGCAGCGGTCCTCAGGGCCGCCCAGCAGCTTGGCTGACCCGAAACCCCCTGAAGACACGCACATTCTTTCTCTCCCCTCTCTGCCGTCGCCCTTCCACTCACCTAGTTTGACATGGCCCCCGAGGTCCATAAGGATGTTGTGGTACGTGACCCCACGATGCACCACCTCGTGTCGATGCAGGTCGCACAGCGCCTCAAGGACAGAGGCGGCCACGTGTTGGACCTCAGCTTCGGTCATCCGCCCGCCGTCCGGCAGCCTCAGGAGCAACCAGCCGACCGACAGGTAGCCGCAATACTCGGAGACGATCTGCAGACAGACAGACAGATCTTCTTCGTGTGTGCAGCCAGCCGGATGCCACGTACCCAGAGATGGTCATCCTGGTCATCATGTTCTCGGTGCGTGGCCAGTGTGGTCACGATGGTCGGATTGCTCCTGCACGTGTGCAGAATGCGCACCTGCTGGTCCGCTCGCCGCCTGTCAGCCTCCGTCTTGTAAGGGAGCCGTTTGACGACCACATCTCGCTCTGTTGCCCTGTGTGTCATCAGCGTCACTTTGACGTCAGCGATCTGAATCAACGGAAGCCACCAGACCATCCATCCATCCATTCATTGTGTATCGGTGTCATTCACCTGTACGTGTTTGAGTATCCCTTTCTGCTCGTACAGATCGCTCAGAGAAAACCTGAAGCACACACACATACACACACAACACACACCCTTCTCAAAAAGTCATTTCTCATTGGTGCGTGTCTCATTGGTGCGTGTGTTCGGACGCCGCCCCCCCCTCTTCCGATCGCGCAGAGCCAGATCCCGCCCACATCTCCCCGGAGCCCGTGCCGACACAATCAGCACACCCCCAAGCCGTCGCTGTCGGTATGCGGCACACACGAAGACGGTGCCGCCACTCACCGGAGAAAACTGGCCACACCGTAACCTACGCTCCAAAATGGTAAAGCTGACACAAAGCGTCCATCCCCACTGCAAGATGCCCTTGCTGCCTTGCCTACACTGTGGGCTGCTGCTCACCTGTGGGTTCTTGCCTTCTTGCGGTGGTGCAGACCTCTTGGCGAACCGCACTCGGATGTCCTGTGTGACGCGATCGGCGCTTACAGTGTATCTGACAGACCAAAATGGACACCACAAGGCACCAGAGTGATGTGCTGAGGCTCGTGTTGGCCTGTCTGCTGCAGATCTGCCTCCCCGCGCTGAGATCTGTGTCGTGGCAGAATGAGCAGCTGCTGTGCCCGCCCTGCTGCTGTGCCAAGCTCACCTGTTCTGTTGGTGTCAGGCGTTCATTCGGTAGGCTCACTGCGGCTCGGCTCGGTGCGAATGGCTGAGAATGGGACACGGTTCGCAGCTGACGGCGGATGTCTGAGGGCCCGCCAGGCCACTCAGTGGCTAACAGCAGCAGGCCTGTGGTGTCGGCAAGAGGGGGCGTCCTCTGTGGGCGTTTGGCAAACGTGCCCACACCTGATCGCTCGGCTCGCAAAAGAGGCCAAAGCGGCGGCTAGAGGTGAGAATGCGCAGCACATGCACACCCGTCAATGCATTTCATCGACTGCGGCGTCCCTCTCCTCTCAGAAGCGGCAGGTAGCGACGTTGGCGGGCGGCGACGATGGGCAACAGCTGCGCCAAGAAGGACCCCGACCCGGAGCTGCAGGAGGAGCTGAGGCGCACACAGGGGCAGGTGCGATCAGTGCACGGGAACGTCAGTGCCTTTTTCGGACGAATTTCTGTCTTTCTGTCGGTGCCTACAGTTGGAGTCGGCGAGAAAGGAGCGCAATAAGACTAAGGAGGAGGTATGGCACGCCCAGTCAGTGGCATGCATCGGTGGAACCACTCGCTCATTCCCTCTCAGCTAGACGACGTGGGCGCGAAGTTACAGCACAAGGGAATGGAGGTGAGCTCACGCGTTGATGCGCGCGCATCGTGTGGATGAATGGGTGGGTGGATGGATGGATGGATGGGTGGATGCAGCTCGAGCAGAAGAAGTGGGACATAGAGGACAAGGACAAGAAACACAAAGAAGAAATGAAGAAGCAGCTCCTCAAGATCAGGGAATTGGTACCATTAATTGTGGCTGGCTGGCTGCCGTCCACACATCACGCACACACATACATACCCCTTCTTGCCACCTGCGTGCCTTGCTTGTTTTTGTGTGCGTCAGGAGAATGTCAAGTTTGACAAAGAGCAGGCTGAGGAAGAGACCAAGCAGCTAAGGCACACAGTGAGTGGGCAGATACACACCACGGACATGATGGATGGATGGATGGACGGTGTCAGTCGATTCACAGGGCGAAGATCATCAAGGATAAGGACGAAGAGCTCAGCAAGATGGATGAACAGGTGGGCGGGCAGCCCAATCCTTGAAGCTGCATAAGTGCCACCTTATCTCTCTGCGTATCCGTGTGTGTGTGTGTGTGTGTGTGTGTGTCAGAACAAAATGCTGAAACAGTGTCTGCGGGCCAAGTCTGAAGCACAGTCACACATGCAGAGAGAACATCTTGGTGTGTGTGTGGATGGATGGATGGATGGATGGATGGCGCAGAGAGCCCTATCAGGGCTTCGGGTTTGTTTGTGACGGCAAGACTGTGCTGCTGACGCTCATCCGCTCCCGGCTGGAAAAGGTGAGCAACCAAAGTGACGGCCCCTCTCCACGCACATCTCTCTCTCTCTGTGTGTGTGTGTCTGTCTGTCTGTCTGTGCTCAGTTGGGTACGGCCGAGCAGGAGCAGCTGCACCTGATACCGAGCGACGTCTTCGACAAGACGAGTAGCCCCGATGTGAGTAGCCTGCCACACTTCAATGTGCGCCCGTCTGTCTGTCTGTCTTACTGTCTGTCTGTCTGTCTGTGTGGCATGGACAGGTTGATTTCTCCACGATGACGGCGCTGGTCAAGGAGCTGAAAACCAAGTTGACGACATCCGTTGACGGCATAGCCGTCGCCGCCCGTAAATAAGCAAGGAAGACTGCACTCACCCCCTGCACGGGTGACGGGTGTGTGTTGTCTGCAGCCATTGAGGTGATCCCCGTGCTGGCTGCTCTGATGCAGGACAAGGGCATCACAGCCAAATTCAAACGGACTGCCATGCACGTGAGTGAGCCTGAGGCGGGGCAAAACGGATGGATGGATGGATGTGTTTGTGTGTGTATTGCATGGCATTGCAGTGGGCGGGCGTGTGGGGCCTCCAGGGCCACGTGGACGCCATCAACTCGTTCTGCGACCAGATACGAGGTGAATGGTCACGACGACACATAGCAACAATGCAACGATGTCTTTCATCCTTCTGTCTGTGTGGCTGCCTCAGAGCCTCCCGCGGCGCCCCCCGCCGCAAGGGCTAGATGGTTCTCCGCCCCCTGGTCGGCAGGCTGGCTCTCGTGCGCGTCGGCCGAGAAGGAGTGAGTGCGTGTGTCGTGTGTACAGACAGACGAGCTATGCGATGCTGCTGCTTTAGTGAGGGCGAACATGTCTGTGTTGGTTCGTCCGCTACTTGTGGTCTGTGTGAGTCCTGACTAGTGGGTGGCTAGTGGATGTGCGCTCTCACCTTCCTCTCTGCCTTGCTGCCTATCTACCTGGCTGGCTCCTTTGTCTGTGCCTGGCTGCGATTGTATGTATATATGCATGTGTGTGTGTGTGTGTGTGTGTGGAGTGCTGACGTGCCATTTTCGCCACATGCAGCGGCGGGAGAGGGACAGACAGAGGTGTGCATACATGGTGGGTGATGGTGTGTCTAGGGGGCGGACGGATGACTTGCTTGCAGACTCACACCTACGTCGTGTGCCGTGGTGGACATTCCTGGGTAGCGACAGACCTGTCTTACACGTTGACACACACCGGGAGGGTCATCGACTGACGACAAAACCGTCAACAATCACACACACACATGGGCAGGCGCATTGCACATGGGATTTCTGCAATCGCCACCATTTCTTTTGGACAGGCCGTGGGCGGTCATCTCTCACATCAAGAGTGAGCCCCTCGTCCTCATCTTCTCGGCTGTAATCTCTTGATGATCTTTTCCTTCCTCATCTTCGTCATCGATGATGGTGCGGATAGATCGGCTGACAAAGAGTAACTTAGTAGCTCGCTGCATGCGCGTGGGGGCAGCCCCCAGGCTCGACGTCAAGCAACCACAGCACCGCCACAGCAGCACACAGCAGCACAAAACAGCAACGAAGGTGCACCGCTGCCGCCGCATCCCCCCTTCCATCCCCCTCCCGAGAGGCCAGCTGCCGCGGACGAACCCCCTGCCCACCACACGGGCAACCGGCAGCCACAACGGCCAGCCCTTCCCCCTCCACCTCGTCGATGGCCAGTCGTTCCCCTGCGGCGCATCCTCTGCAGCTGGGCAGCGCTACTGCGGCTATATGCCGCCAGTCAAGCGCATCGACTATCAGCCCACCCCCGGTTTCACTTTCAGCGGGGCGAAAGTGTACCGGGTGGAGCAGAGGCTCTGCGCCGCCAGCACGGCCGCTCACAGTGAGCAAACAGTCGGCCAACCAGCGGGACCCTCGCCCTTTACGAAGGCGCTGAAGGAGATCCCACTGGAGAGTGCAGAAATGATTGCCATCCGGAGGGCTACTGGGTTGGGAAGGGAGGCGATTTTGGGTGTGAATCGGGTGGGCGAGGAGGACGCACAAGGGCACATGAAGTCATTCTTGTGGCGTCTGATGGTGTTTCTTCAGGTTTCTCAAGCGGGTACGGGGAATCATTTTGTGGAGATGGATTTGCTGCGGGATAATTTGGGAAGTTTTGCTATGGGGCATTGGGAGAAGGGGCGGGCGACCACCACGCTCGAGGAGGAGACCGTCAGGGAGATGCTCTTCCCTGTTGTTGTTGCCCTGCGGGACCTCTTCGATCGAGCGTGGATGTGTCATGGGTAAGTAGAGATGAAAAACCCCATTCTGTCTTGCCCTGAACTTGCTCTGGTCATCCCCTGATGTGTCTGCCCATCAGGGATATCAAGCCCTCCAATTTTTTGGTTGATGTGCATGAGGGGAGGGTGCCTGGAATGAAGTTGATTGACTGGGGATTGGCTGGTGTTTTCCATGTGAGCTCACACGATTTCTTACGTATACTCGCCACTCACGTCTGTGTGTCTCTGTCTGTCTGCCTGTCTCTGTCTATAGAATCGGGAGCAGTTGGAGGGCAAAAGGGCAAGGGAGTATATTACGTGGGATATCAAGAATATAGGGTGAGACAAAGACAAGAGGACATTATTGATCACTCATTGTATGTGCATCACCTCGCTGTTTTTTGTGTGTGTCAGGGGGATTTTGGGGTACATGTTGTTTGGGCCGCATGCACCACTGGTGTCTCACAAGTGGATGAAGGTACACACAAATCAGAGACAGCACACACACAGAGACATGTCAAACAAATCGCCTCCTTTTGTGCATTTCATCCATTAGTCGCCCCCACGCAGCCGTGCGGCTCATGAGTTGTATGAGCTCCTCACTCGGCGGCCAGAGACCCTCACGTATGATGATATCCTGCGCCGCAAGTGGTAAGTGGGAAAATGCGAAGACAAACGAACTCATATTATCTGCGTCTGATCTCTGCACATCTCGCTGGCTCCAGGTTCAGTCGAGCCCATCCCCAACACGTACCGGGTCTCTGGTCGCCCACGCCGCAGCCCGCCCGCCAGGATCCGCCAGAGCCGCCAGCCGACAGCCTTGCTGATGACGCACCAGCCAGCCCCGCACCCACCGGCTGCTCGGCCTGGCTGTCGGCGCTCTGGCGATGGCTCAAGGGGGTATGGGCGTGTATATGTGGGAGGGGGAAGGGATAAGGGTGATGGATTGATGGATGGGGGGAATGGATGGATGGGGGGGATTGGTTATTTTTTCTCTTTGCTCTCTTAATTGCTGGGGGTGCCATTTGCTCATTTTTGTGCTGGTTTTCTCTCTTTCTTGCTGCTACCACTGTACTGTTTGTTGTCCGTTGCTCGCTTTTTGGCTTTACTGAGCTATTGTACTTGCTGCCCTCTTCTGCTCCTTTCTACTGCACTACCTCACACGGCTGCTGATATGCATATCGGTAAGAGAGAGACAAAGAGAAAGCAGAACAACAAACGCACGTCTCCTTGCACTGTGTGTGCTTCTGTGTATGTGCCAGATTTGCTTCCCTTTGTGAGATTGCTTCTACTGCTCTTGCGCCCTTTTTGCTGCGCTGCTGTACTGTTTGTTCTCTTGTGCCGTTCCCTTTCCGCTTGCTGAGCTACTTGCTGTGCTCTCCTTCTTTGCTCCTTTCCACTGTACTGCCCCATCTGCTGCTGATATGCACACGTACGGGTGAGAAATAGAGAAAGAGAAAAGCCGAAAACACAAACACGAAAATCTCCCTGCCTGTCGGTGTGTTCTGTATGTCAGGTTTTCAACTTTCCGCTGTTGTGTTACCGGTGCTTCTTCCTGCATGCCATTTTGGTGAGACATCATCACAGACAGGTCGCAATTCGCTGCACAGACAGACAGACAGGCATCGCTTGCCTGCCTTGTGTGTCTCATACCTGCAGGTGCATCCATCCGTTTGTCTTGCTTCTCCGCTACTTTGTTGCTTGCCTCTTACGTTGCTTCGAAGGTGAGAGACTCCATAACGAACGAGAAGGCAGCTTCGTATTCCGCTGGCATTCCTATGTGTCAGGTCTTTGCTCCTTTTTGTGCCTTGCTGCTCTGTTTCTTTCTCTGCTCTTGTTGCTCTTGCCTCCATGCTCCTTTCTCTTCGCTCTGGTGAGGCAGCGACTTGGACAGAAATGCGTGGTCATAGCTTATGATCGATCTGCCGGTGATGGGTGTGGTGTGTGTGCAGCTCATTTGGGCTTCTCGGCGCTGTTCTGTGGCAGCTGAGACGGCCATCAGTAGGAGAGACACACATAAATTAAAGAACGACAAGCATACGGCTCGTTGTATGTCTGCGTATTCATCAGATTTGCTCCTTCTTGTGACTTCATTGCTGTCATTGTCTTGGCGAAATCACGACAGACTTGCTTGGTGAGACATCATCATAGACAGGGCTCCACCCATCGTCACATGACTGTCGCGTCTCCATGCAGCTTGTATGGGGATTCTGGGGCTTCTGGTTCTCTTTGTTTGGGCGTCTTCTACTTTGCTCGCCTTTCACCGTGAGTCAGCACAGATGAGCGAAAAACAAGGAGTTATGCTGTTTGCATTTCTAGGTGTCAGATTTGCTCCCTTTCTTCCTGTGCTGAGGGTCGACATACACAAAGCCCATGTTCTCGCCACTCAATCCATCAATCGACCTCAAATGCATCAACCCTGCCCACTATCTCCCCCACACAACACTCATCCCCGCCACCACCTCCGCGTGTTGCCTCCCAAAACCGACCAAGCCCCCGCACAATCGGATGATCGGCCGTAAGGGCCGACTTGCGCACCCACGATGCAAACGGGGCTCCTTGCTGCTGGGTGAAGGCCTGCTTGGCTCTCTGGTAGTCGGGTGCCTGGTCCTTGAGGGCGATATAGGTGACGGGGGAGGGAGAGGGGGAGGGGGGGTTGAGTCTGCGTCGCTTGTCTTGATGGCAGGGGGCTGGTGAGGCGTCGGTCGGCTGCTGATGCATGAGGGAACGCGCTGCCCTCGCCATGCTGGCCTTGCTCAGAGACGACACCTGAGTACACACATGGGCAGACACATCGCACACGGGATTTCTGCAAACGCCACGATTAGTTCCAAACGTATCACATACGTACGTACCAGGTGCGATCCGTCCTTTGGACCCTTCTTGCGGCTGCCCTGCAGCGTCCCCTCAGCACCAATCACCACCTCGCTCACTGGGCTGCCTCCCTGATGTGGCAAGGGCGCCCGCCACACGATGGACAGACCTGACGTGGCCACGTCGCCATGCAAAGCACGCTCCATCGCTGCCTGACTCCTGCAACCACTCACAGACACACAGAGAATAGATCGTCTCAGGCGTGTGTCTTGTCGCCTGTCTCGCCAATGGGCACCTTTCATACTCCACACATGTCCGCTGCACCCTAATCATCTGTCCACCGTGCCCCCCTCCCCGCCTCACGAGCGCCTCAACCACCACGACCTCGTCAAACAGCTCCCCTCCGATGGTTAGTGAGGCCATGTGGATGGAGTGGGCCAGGAATAGGGATGGCAGGGCGCCCTGCCAGCCGATGGAATTCCATCTGCAGAGCTTGTCGGAGCAGCTGATGGACAGGGTGCGGCGGGCGGGGGGTAGGTCGCTTCGGCCTGGTTTGAATCGCAGGATCCCTCGGCGATGGAAGGCGTCACCCTTACCCTTCTGATGACCACACACAAAAGACAAGACAACCAACGCAATCAATCAAATCACCCGGTCCACCACCCCTTTCTCCCTCTGTGTGCCTTCATTCCCTACTCACAGGATCATCCTCATGCGCACACACCGCCTTCGCGCCCGTCCTATTAAAGTCATCAACAGCAGCACCAGCATCAGCAGCATCACTGCCGTTGCTCTTGTTCTTCTTCCGGGCCAGCGAGCCCGTCACCGAGCGGATTGGCACCATGGCGGCCTCGCCACACGGCAGCTGCGACACGTAGAAGTGCAGACGCAGGTCGCTCCGAATGGCGTATAGGCCGTCGGGCTGGCGAGTGAGCAGCAGCGAGGGAGGGGAGGGAGGGAAGTCAGTGTCATCACCCGTCGAGGAGGAGGAACCCATGTGAAAGGCCAATTCATCCAGAAGCCGCCTGCCGACACCAAGCACGGTGAATGAATCGTCTGTCTTTGTCTGTCTGTCTGTCTGTCTGTCTGTCTTTGTTTGCTTGTTTGCTGACTGAACTGAACTGACCTCTTGAGAGCCCTTCTGGCCAGCACCTCTGCGTGGCAGTCGTGCAGCTTGGTGCCCTGTACGTCCAACTTGCCCACACCGACGCACCGAGAGCCCGTTGCCAAAGTGACCACTGAAAGAGCCGATGAAGGCGTGTGCTCCGCCACAATCGCCGCGAGGACCGTCCACTCTTTGCCTGACATTCATGAGGACCACACGACAGCAGAGCATGACATGAATCACAGACTCACAAACAAAGATCTGTGTGTGAGTGCCATACATAATGATTAGCTCGTGCGTGCAGTGCAGTACATGCCTTGTGGTTTGCCCCGTCCGGGCAGCTTCTTCAATTGGTCCACCACTGTGCTGGCGATGGCATCTGGGTCGGCACCCATCAAACTCGTCAGATCTGCGCTTGTCTAAATCAAGACTGCCTTGCTGATTCATACTGATTCATCGCCGGGAGGAGAGGCTGCGGGGAGGCAGGACTGGTTAGGGCTGGGCTTAGGATGCGAGCTCCCAACTCACTTCGACGTCAGCGTACCAGCTGATATGGCGCCCCGTGACGTCTTTCGGCTCTTCCTCCGCAGCCTCCTCTGCGGCCTCATCTTCGGATTTGCTCTCTGCATGCTCTTCGTCGGCACGATTCTCATACTCGTCGGCCTCTACATGCTGGGAGTGGAGTTCCCAGAACCACCCAACGTGGTGACGCTTGAAGGTCAGCACGACGGTCACCACCATCAGCAGCAGCAGCAGCAGCATGATCTGGAGTGCAAGAGCTGTGGGACGGCAATAGGGCGGTCGGCGGATCTGTACCCGCCGAGGGAGGTGGGAGGGGTGTCGTCCTTTGTGGCTTGGCAGGAGGGGGCCTATCTGGGTCACGTTACGCAAAACATCGGCGGTGTCAACACCACTGGTCGGTCGGTCGGTCAGCCACCGAGGGAGGGAGGGAGGCAGCACATGAGCATCTCTGTCTGTCCATTCCATCGGTTTGTTTCGGTTGTGCTTTGCTTTGCTTTGCTTTGCTTCGTCCACCAGTGTACACGTTTCAGCAGCTGCCGAGCATCAGCGCCAAGAGGCTGCGGTTCCGGGTTGTGAGATTGAAAGATACAACACACACAAACCTGAGAAAGGTAAGTAAGGACACCCAGACACACAGACAGACAGACAGACAGACAGACAGACGCCGCCACATGATACCGAATTGTGTGTGTGTACATCTCAGTACGGCCCGTCCCACTCCGATTCGTGGTTCCCGGCCTATCGCTGGACAATCGCCGTCTGCCCTGTGTGCGGCAGGCAAATCGGCTGGCACTTCTCACCTAAGGCAGTCAGTAAACACAACCACCAGGAGGCCTTCTACGCCATCAACCTTGATGCCATACGCAACCACACCCACGCCACCCGCCACCCCCAGCCCGCCACCTCTACCTATCTGTCAACGTCGGTGGATCGGCTGCAGCAGAAGATGCGGGAAGACCCCACACTCGCGTCGGTGTTGGGGGGTGCCGCAGTTGCTGGGGGCGGTGGGATGGCCGGGGTGAGCGTTGCTGCCATGGTGCTGCTGCCGACCGCTGGAATCCCCTCACCTTTCATCGGGTAGGGGGGGTGGCATGTGGTCTAGACTGACTGACTGACTGACTGTCCAGAGAAGCCGCACCGCCGTGAATCTCTGTGTGTGGTGCGTGTGTCAGGTTTAATCTGTACCTCCGCACGGTGGGCGTCCTGCTGCTCGGCTGTGCGTTGGCGTGTGTGTGTGCGGCTACCCTGTGGAATGCCAAACCTGTGCTGCGGGCACGTCGGCGGCTGCTGGTGGCCCAGCTGAGCAACGAGGGGGCAAGCGGCAACAACAACAACAGCAAAGCGCTGCTTCAGTGTTTGCGGGCGGCGGACACCACCAGAAGAAGATAGGGCAAGGGGATGCCATGCGTTGTGTATTGTGTGTATTGGTTGTGTACAGGAGTGTGGTGTGTTCTATCGGTGGGTCGGTCGGTCGGTCGGTCTGTTTGTGTGCGTGTATGTGTGTGGGGCGGGGCCATCCATCGGCGGCATGTCATCTGGATGTGTGGATGCGATGCTGGCTGACGGGATGGTGTGTCCTCCGTATTTGTGGTAGCTAGATAGATCATTGCTGGATTGAGTGACTTAGTGAGTGGTCGGTGTAATTCAGATGTGAGGTTGGGACGTTTTGCTCGTCTTTTGCCCCATCTGGGCGTCCTTCGTGCAGCCGTGTTGGTCGAAGACGGCACACTGGAGTATCCTCCTCGTTGCAACGAGAGAGGGTCCTTCAGTGAGCCACCGACGGCCAACATGGCCACACGGAACATGTTCCCCACACGACAGACAGAGAGATGGGGGACTCTTGCCAGTGGATGCGGCAACAGACATTCTAGTGCTCATCAATCACTCCATGTGTTGTGTGTCTCATTCACTGACTCATGGCATGCCACGGTTTGTCATTCACTAAAGGCATGGCTGCACACACACACAAATACACACAGCCACACACACACACATTGCCAACCCGCACATGCAATGCAATGCAATGCAATGCAATGCAGCTATCAGAAACACCACACCACAGGGGGCACAACAAACCCTAAACCGCCACAAAAGGGGAGGGAGGAATTGGTGCGTCTGAAATGATAGACGGTCAAGTACAGAGTGTGTGTAAGAGTAGAGAGAGACACAGATAATCTATAGAGGAGACAGACAGACATTGGGGGGCCTGCCGCATTGCATTGCATTTCGCAGAAAGAGATAAATAGCATCACACCTGTGGTGTATATGCCTAGACAGTGTGCTCAGATGGACATCATCACATCCATCCATCCATCCAATTTGTGGTACGAGAAAATGTCATCGACACGAACAACATCACTGCAGAAACCCCACACAGACAGCCACATACCCACAAACAAGAGCCGAAAGGAAGAAATCAGCTCCCTTTGGCCACATCCCCTCTCCCTCTCCCTCTCCCTCCCCAACCCACTCAATGCAATGCATCCCTATACTCAGTAGCAGAACTTAGGCCCCGACACCGTCTCAGGCTTGGACCTCTTCTCAGCGCCCTCAATACGCACCAGACACAGCCCCGACTTCTCGTAGAAGGTGAAAAACCCGCACTTGTCATGCTTCTCGCATCTCGCCCGACACGCCTCCACAAAGGCCATGTCCACCAGGTCGTCGGTGTCGGTCTGCTTGGGGATGTCCTCCAGGATCTGTCCCGAAATGCTGCGCCGGAGCTCTTGGAACTGGATGGCGGATGTGTTTGTGTTGTCATCGTCATCGTCATCGTCGCTGCTGCTGCTGCTGCTGGTGGTGTAGGACATGACGGAGGCCTCTAATAGGTCGCCTGCGCTCTTTGGGGCGCCGACGTCGAACTCGAAACACCCACATGGCAGATGTGCAGCCGACATGTCAACTAAAGGAACCAACACACATGCACACACACACACACACAAGGCCTGTCTATATCTCTCTCTCTCTCTCTCTGTGTGTGTGTGTGTGGTCACCCACACGCACCTTTGAGTATCTTGGAGGGGTGCATGGCGTCGCCATGTTTGTCGATGGGCACCGCTCTCAGGTAGACAGTGTCCTCCGTGTCAAGCCCTGCCTCCGCCTTGGCCAGCATTTCCTCCAGCTCCACAATATCCTCAAAAGCCTTCCTGTCAAGCTGATAGACCACCACCCCCTCTTTCCTCCCCTCATCGTCATCGTCATCGGGATCACCGGCACTGACGTCCGCCAGGTCCTCTGCCGACTTTGCCGCGTGTATCTGCCAGTGCTTGATGCCCGTCACGCCGTTGTACGACACGTGCAGGGTCTTCTTGCCGCCGCCGGCGGCGTCGGTGCAAGCGAGGAGTCGGGGTGGCTGGACGGACTTGCCTCTCCACTTGTCAAGCTTGCCGCGGTAGGCCCGCAGGTGGTGCCCATGCATCTGCCGGACCAGCTTGCCCTGTGTGTCGACCTCCATCATGATTGGGAGGGGCTCGGGGTCGCTCACCTTGCCGCCACCGGCTGCACACGTCAGAAAGAGGGTGTGTGATTTGTGGTTTGTGGTTTGTGGTTTGTGGTTTGTTTGCGGTTTACCGATGACGGTGTGTCCGTTGTCGAGGCGCTGTGGGCCGCCGCAGCAGTCGGCGAAGAGGGTCTTCTTGTGGTCGTACTCCCACACTTTGGTGGCCGTCATGCTGGTCAAGTCCAGCTCGTACTCCACCGCTCGGGAGTAGTTGCGGCCGCCCGGCGCGTCAAGGTCCCAGTTATCCCACCTGCACACAAACAACCGTCCATTTTGTCTCTCTCGTGTCATATATTCGCCTCACGCAATAATATATCGCTCACATGAGGACATTTCCATTGCTGAGCTGGTGCGCCTTGTGCTGCAGCCGGAATGGCACCTCAGCGTCGGTGTCGTTGAGGAACTTAAAGTCGCCGTCTTTGCCGCCGAGGCGCCAGAGGACCTGGCCGGTCTTGCGGCTGAGGAGCAGCAGCTGGTTGGCCGTCTTGAGGGAGACCAGGATGTTGCCGTCGGGCGAGTACTCGCAGTTGTTGACCGAGTACTTGTTGATACCGGTGTCCACGGCGGGGTCAGACACCTCGTGGCTGAAGGCATCCCACGTTCGCCACTGACACACACACACACACACACACACACACAGGGGGGAGAGAGGGAGGGGTGTGTGTTGTGTGTGTTCTTGCAGGCCCCATTGGCCACTTGCCTCGAAGATGACGTTGTCGTGTTTGTCGAGCTCCTGGACGACCGCTCCGACTGTCTTGCCGTCGTTGAGGCCCCGGTCGTAGATGCAGGTCAGGTAACGGCCGTCCTCAAACACTGTCATGTGGTGATCATCCTATATACCCACCACAGACAGACATGGCAGACATGACAGAGAGCCCACACACACAAACACACACATACATCCATGTCTTCCTTGGCGTCTGTCTGTCCTCACCTGGAAGTAGCCATGCCCCGCCCTGCGCGTGGCGACTTCCCTGTAATGGTCGTCGAGCTCCACCCCCTCCCTTGTGGGGTCCATGTGGCCGGGCCACTGCTCATGGCCCCTCAGGTAGTTGAGGTTGCCATTGGGCTGCACCCGCAGGTCCACCCCCTCCTCACCGTCCTTAAGGCGGTGCCACCACACCAGGTCGCCCTGCCGCGTCATGATCTGGATGTAAGGCTTGACGAACTGAGTGTTGCAGAACCAGTAGAGAGGCTCGCCGTCGGTGTCGGCCTCTTCGGCGTCGGCGGCCTTGGCCTCCTTGGAGAGGGTCACGTGCCAGCGGGGGAACTCTCCAGGCAAAGTGCGGTACTTTCTGTTGGGGGTGTCGCCTTGTTTCTCCTCAGAATCGTTGTATTGGGTGGATGCCGCGCCCTTGAGCTGATGATGCTGATGGTCTGCGTCTGTGCCTGTGTCTGTGTGTCGGGCAAGTTGTCTTCTGGCCTTGGGGGTGCCGCTTCCCTTGGTGTCCTTGTTGATGGGGATCAGCGCGCCGCTGGCCGTGACCTGGCCAAGCGGCGTGCTGCCTTTGTTGGTTATGGTGAAGGACCACTTGAAGCCGTCTTGGTAGCCCTTCTCCTCATATCGCGCCAACACGTCGGCCGTGGTATTTTCCACCATGACGCGCAGGCCCGATTTCACCTGCACCTTGACCTTCTCGCCAGGAATGAAGTGCTTGTGAGGCCTGAAAATGACGGTCTTGCCGTCGGCCGCCAGCCGCAACTCGCCTCGTTTGGTCACATCGCCGCTCTTGCTGCCGGTGACCCTGAAGACGCCCTGGGAGCCGGCGGCATCAGCAGCGGCCGATGTGGCCATGGCCTTGAAGCTCTTGACGTCGACATTACTGCCTTCGCGTACGGCGATGGTGGTCAAGGGCGAGACGACGATGGCGTCCTTGCGGGGGTGAATGTACTCGAAGGGGCCGTAGGGGTGAGTGGTCTTCTCGACGGCCCACACGCCATGCTCTATCTTGAAGTCGGCGGGGCCGATCCTGGTGGTCTTCTCGGTGGTGGGCTTCTTGCCGCCGCCCTTGTCGTCGCCAGTGCTGCTGACATCATTGTTTTCCTTGTGCGGCGTGCTCTTGTCCGAGACTTTCCTGCCCTTGGTGGTGTTTGCCTCAGCTGGTGCCGAGGCGACGCCAGCCAATAGGAGGCAGCCGAGCGATGCAAGCAGCGGGACTCGCATCGTCGCCGTGTTATTATTTCGTCCCGACTGGCCGTTGAGCATATATTTCAGTGCAAGTCTGGTCGACTCAACTGCAGAAGAGCCGTTCGATCATTCCATCGACAAAGGAGGGTTTGTCACGTCACTACACATGCCGTTTGCTGTCATGTCACTCTCGCCCAGGTACGATGGATGCATCAACCAAAGATGGACACAGAAAAAACAAAACGCTGCACAGCCGGACGTCGGCAGTGAGACCTTCAGTCAGTCAGTAAATGAGTCAGTCAGTCAGCAGCCGCGGAGGTCGTAGCCATGTTTTCGCTTCTTGCGGCAGGGCGAGGGCGATCGTGATGCGGCGCCGTTGCCAGCAGGGGCCGCGGGAGCAGCCACAGCCCGCCCACCTGACACACAAGGCACACCCACCCCCCACACACACAGAGGTCTCTCTCTGTCCCCCTTAGCACCCAATGCCCCACTCAGTCAGTCAGTCGGTCAGAGAGTGTCGTACCTCCGTTGCCCCTCCGCCGCTTCTTGGGCGATTCCGGCACCGCCTCCTCCGACACGTTGTCCGTCTCAGGGCTGGCCGGGGGACAGGCCATCTCAACGTCACCACCACCACCACCACCAGCACCCGACGAGCCACCACCACCAAGCCGCTTGGACCTGCGCCGCCTCCCCGCCGAGGGCTTCTTGGCGATGGCCTTCGCCGAGGGCTTCTTGACGATCGCCTTGGGCTTCTTGACGATCGCCTTGAGCTTCTTGAGGATGGGTTTCTTGACGCGTCGTCCACTGGCAGCGGCGGGGGCGTGCGTGTGTGTGTGTTTGGGGCAGGTTGGTGCATGGCGGTTGATGCGGTGCTTCTTGTTGTCTTTGGTGACGGGCAGGTAGCCGAGCTGCTCGGAGGCACAGGCGAGGTGCATGCGGCTCTTGCAGCCTGAGGCATGGCAGCCTGCAGACAGACAGACAGACATAAACGACTCGTCTGGTGTGGTCTGGTGTGGTGGCTGGTGGGTTTGCTTACACTTGAGAGTCGCCCCGAGTTTCTTGCAGATGACGCACTTGTGCTTCCGCGCCTCCTTGATCGCACTCGCAGCATTGAACCACCTGACGCACGCCCAAGCAAGCACACACAAAGGCAGTCACTCGTGTGTGTGTGTGTGTGTGTGTGTGTGCCTGGATGTCTGTGTCTGTGTGTGTGCTGTCCGAACCGTGAGCCGTCAGTATTTGAGACACAGTGAGTGGACGAGTAGAGGCACTGCTCGTGGGCCATGTGGCGCTGGCCGTCGTCCGTCTCAAACACCCCCACCAGCGGACGCTCGAAGCTGCACACACCACCACCCACACGTGTGTGGAGAGTTCCATCCATCCACCGCTCGGTGGCTTACGTGTGCGCGCCGCCGCAGAATGAGCAGTTGAACTTGCCGTCCATGAGCCGCTGATGCTCACTGCAACATCCGCTCATCCAAATGGTTGGACTACCGAGCGTGTGTGCGTGTGTGTGTGCGTGTGCGTGTGCGTGTGTATGTGTCTCTCTACTTCACTTCCCCCCGCTGCCTTGCTCCCTCCCTCCCTCCCTCCCTCCCTCACGTGTGTGACAGCCCGGTGAGGGAGTCCTCCTTGCAGGTCTTGGCGTCGAACTCGGTCTTGGCGTCCACACCCGCGTCGATCCACTGCTCCCCACTGCCGTCGACGAACCACTGCACACACCCCATTCCCAACACACACACACACACACAGACCGTGTGTGCTGAAGAGTGAGTGTGTGTGGCCCGGTGGGTCTGGTCTGTCTGCTCACCTTGTGCAGCCCCTGAGTGGAAGTGACGCCGCCTGCGATAGCGTCGATGATCCTCTGGGCCTCACGCACACCACTGTGGTAGGCCCCATGGACCGTGGCGGGGTAGTGCTTGCAGGTGTGCTCGCCTGTGGGCGAGTGTGGTTGTGGTGTGGGGAAATACACGAACACAATCCCGTAGGACTCTCTCTCTCTCTCCCTCTCTCTCTCTCTGTGCGGGTGTGTGTGGTTACCTGCGAAGAGGCATCTGCCAACGGGCATGGAGAGGAGGTCGTAGTCCAAGCAGGAGCTGCCGGGCGGGATGTAGGAGTAGCTGCCTGTGGGGTGGGTGGGTGAGGTGGACACACACGACAGACACACGGATATATGGGATAGATAGAGGGGTGCTTAGAGGGAGGGAGGGAGGGAGGGGAGGGGAGGGTGTGTGTGTGTGTGTGTGTGTTTCCCACCTCTGGCACGAATGTCCTGCCCCCATTTGGTCCGCATGAAGTGGGTCGGCTCGGGCACCTTGACCTGTTTGCCGTACACCTTCCGCAACACCTGCACACACACACAGAGAGAGAGGTGGGCTGCACCGCACAGACCGCACCGTACCTGGAGGCACTGTTTCTTGAGCGTGTTGTCGTCCATGGCCTCACTCTTCTTGCCCAGCTCAGCCGGCAGCTGCACACACAACACACACACGTCGCCATGTGTGTGTGTGTGTGTGAGTGGACGACGCACACACACAATGAAGGCGTGGCGTACCAGTGCGAGGATGGCCGGCTTTGGGTGGCAGAGAATAAATTCGAAGAACCAGCCCTTCTCCTGGCCGCAGTAACCTGACGACACACACACGCACGCGTGCCCACGACCGAAGGCACAGGTACCTTACCTATGTGCCGCTTGGCGGTGGCTTGGTCCCACCACACCTCGTCGAACACAAGCCACACCTTACAAACAACAACACAACACAACACACACACGCACAACTCAATCCAATCCGCCTCAGTCCATCCCATCTCACCCACCCACCCACCCACCTTGTTGAGCAGTCCGACTCCCAGCCTGTCGATGGCCTCGGTCTTCCACTGAGGCAGCGGCGGCTCGTACGTCACCGTACCTGGAGGGAGGGAGGGAGGGAGGACAGGCACACCAGACACAACACAGCGACACACACATACGTCCCTTCCCTTTGTGTGTGTGTGCGTGTGTGTGTGTGTGTGTGTGCACCGTTGTCCTTGGCCCGTCTGGTGGGCGACTCCGATCGGTTGCTAGAGCCGCCTGTGGCGGCGGCCTCGACGGACTTCTTGAGCACGCCTAACACACACACACACACACACACAAAGGGACGGAGCACTCAGTCAGTACCCAGGAAGTGCGCAGGGTGTCCGTCTGGTACCCAGCGGGCAGGTGTCTATGACAAAGTCGAACTCCCCAATGGGCTCCAGCTGGCCGCTCTTGTACAAGAGCACCTTGTCGCCCACACGGCAGACCTTCCGGACGGCCACACCTGGCAGGCAGGCAGGCACCACACACAGACACAGACAGACAGACAGAGGGTATGGCTGTGTAGTGTGGTGTGGTGTGTGGTGTGGTGGAGGGATGGACGGTGTCGCGTCGCGCGTACCGAATTGGACGTCGACGCCCTCAGCGAGCTTCTCGGGGATTTTCTGGTAGCCGTCCTTGATCATGACGTGCGGGCCGGGGTAGGCCGTTTCATCGTCCTGGAGGACGATGTGTCAGGCAGGCATCAGACATCAGACACACACACGAATGTGTGCGGTGTGCGGTGTGCGCAGACACATTCACAACACAACACAGGCCGGCCGCTCGCTGCGCTGCGCTGCATTGTCTGTCACTTCACTTACGGCGTGCCACTGCTTGAGTGAGAGGGCTTTGTGGTCCGCGCCGGTGCTGTACTCGTCCTGGGACTCATGCCACTCCCACACACGGCGGGCAAGACCCTCCTCTGACACACACACACACACACACACACAGAGAGAGAGAGAGAGAGTGGCCGTGTGTGTGCTTCTGACGCACCCTACCCTTTGCTTTGTACTGCTCCATGGCCCCCCCTGTGGACAGCATGAGCTGCTCCGACATCGGCAGATCGCTCGCCGCCTCTTCGGCCTCCTGTAAGGTAGGTAAAGGTGTGACGGTCCCGTGTATCTATCGGGCTCCCACTGTGTGTGTCTGTGATGCTCTGCTCACGATCATGGCGTTGTCGTATTTCTCCTGGACCTCCCTGTGCTTGTCGGCGGGGATGGCGAAACCGTTGAAGTCCACCATGACTATGTTGTCGTCCTGCAACACCACACAGGCCGGCAGGTCAGGCTCAGGTCAGGTGCATGTGTGTGTGCTTCCCCCTCCCCTCCCCCTCCCCCCACCCCTCACTTACGCCTCGTTTGCTCTTGTCCATAACCTGCGCGTAGGTCTCGAGCTTGAACTGGTCCGCCAGCTTCTTGACCGGATTGCCGTCCACGCCGTGAATGAAGGACGCACCCTGTGATCCATCCATCCATCGTCCAACCAACGCCTCTCTCAGTGACTGACTCACCTGGTCGATGCCATTGACGCCGCCCGCGTCAACTGAGTGCACGCGGCCGCCTACTCGGTCCCGAGGCTCGAACACCTGCACACACGAACACACGGAGGAAAAATCCTTAATCTGTCTGTGTGGCCCAGCCCAGCCGTGTGGCCCTGCTCACTCACTCACCGTGACCTTGACGCCCTTCTTCCTCAGCTCTGACGCAGCCCTGCCAACACAGTCAGGTCAGAGCCATCCGCACACACAAGGGGTTACTGACTGACATGAATCTCGGGCGGTGTGCTCCCCTCCCCTCCCCTCCCGAGGCCCTGCCCTCTGCCTACCCCAGACCAGCCATCCCGGCGCCAAGAATGCCCACTCGGCAATCCGTGAAAATTTTGTCGTGGGACGGCATCGATGAGGGGTTCTTCGCCTTCGCCTGCCCTCGAGTCTGCCCTCCACGCATCCTAGAAGGCGCGGCGGGGCTCTTTCCTCGCGCCATTCTTACTGCCCCAAGAGCTCGCGATGTGCGAGCTCGTCCTTTTTCGTCCCGTCGCGGCATTCCACAAGAAGCGCTGCAATGGCAGCTCAGTTCGGCTTGTGGTTTCCGTCCAAGAACGGTCGCGCAGAGAATCCGAGGTTCAGAGTCCTCTGCCTCCACAGCGCGGGAAGCGCCGAAACGGTACTTACGCAGACAGCAGACACCTCATTGCTTGCACTGTGGTGTGGTGTGTGTGGTGTGTGTGGTGTGTGTGGTGTGTGCAGATCTACACCAACAAGGGCAGCCCTCGGCGGCCGTACCCCAACCCCCTGCTGCAGTGGTGCATCGACAACGAGGTGGAGCTCCTTGCTGCACAGCTGCCCGGCAGACCGGGACCTCGCGCCAAGGAGCCAAGAATCACGTCCGCACAGGAGGCCGCCAAACGCCTCTACGAGGTGCGGACGGATGGCAGCTGATGGCGGATTATGGCGGATGGGGATCTCTCTCTCTCTGTGTGTGTGTATGTGTGTGTGTGTGTGCAGGTGATGACTCCCCACTTTGCGGACGGCGTGTCGTATGCCATTGTGGGTCACTCGGTGGGGACGTGGATAGCCTTTGAGCTCTTGTGCCTCATCCGGGAGAAGCTGAAGCAGCAGGAGACCACCAGCACCACCACCCCTCAGGTGCCGCTGCCCAAGCACCTGTTCTTCTCCTGCATGGTCGCCCCCGACTGGCCTGCCGACAAGAGGCCATGGCGGCAGAACAAAGACCTCAATGAGGAGCAGTTCAAAGAGGTGAAGCCGTGCCACTCACACACACACTCACAGACAGACAGACAGACAGACAGTCACACAGACAGACAGACGGACAGACAGACAGACAGACGTACAAGACCACACGTGTCGGCTGGTGTGTGTGTGTGTTTAGGAGTGCGGTCACTGGGACGTCAACAAGGAGGTATTTGACATGTGGGATGTGTACGGTCCGCTGCTGAGGGACGACTTCACCATATTCGACTGCTACACATTCACACACGACGGATGCCAACCCTTCGACATTCCCATCACCGCATGGTAGGTGTGGTCACCAACCACACACACATACACACGCGGCGCCCAATCCTCTCTCTCTTTCTGTGTGTGTGTGTGTGTGTGTAGGTATGCCAAGCGAGACCGCAAGATCAGCGAGGAGATGGTGTCAGCGTGGCAGCGGTTCGTCAAGAATTCCTCCAAGTTCACCCTCTCGTCCATCGACGGCCACCACCTGTTCGTCTACGACAGCGGCGCCCGCACAGCCTGGATGGACCAGATAGCCCACAGGCTCGACCAGTGCCTGCTCGACGAGGAATACGGCTTCTAGCCCAGCCGGCCACTCCACTGGCCCTGACAGTGTGATGTCTGTGTTAGGTCCGTGCGTGAGGTCGGTCAGTTAGGTAGCTCTGTCAGTTTTTGTCTGTCTTGCCAAGAGACCTGAGCTCTTATCAGGTGTCTAGGCAGGCAGGCAGGTTTATCTGTGTAGGCAGGTTGATTGGATCGTCTCGACGGCTCGATGGCCTGTGTCCCATTGCAGTCAGTGCTTGCAGGTGCATGAGTCTGCCGAATTCGGGCAGGCTGATGCTCCGGTGAGAGCTGCTGTGACATCCCAGACCAGCGAGCTGTGTCGGTGTCGTAAGGTGTGCGGTTTGACTGACTAACGGGACGGGACGCTTCATAGGATCGTTCGGCAGGGGCGTTGCAGCACGCGTGGGTCTGACCTCTACCAATAAACAGACAGACGCTCTGCCCGTCAGTCAGTCAGTCAGTCCATCGCTCCGCTCCTTGGCACGTCACGGAAAAACAGCAGAGCCAACCTGGTGGCGCTGCCCACTCTCTCTCGCTTGCCATTAAACCTCTTCAGTAAAAACAGCCAACCAGTCAGTGGCAGGCAGGCGGCACACGAGCCGCACCTGTCTGTTCGCTTCGTTTGTCACTCATCCGTCCATATCAATTAATGACCCACACGTATACACATACTCTCTCTGTACAGACACACAGACACCCATGCAGAGAGACAGACAGACAGACACGCTACGCTGGAAAACCGACCCCTGTTCTTTCTTTTCAACATAACAACACCGCACCCAGCCAGGCAGACAGACAGACACCCAGCCACCCCAGACAAACAAACCGTCACTGGGGGCACTGCACTGCAACGAGCTTAAGCTCGTTGCAGTCAGGCACCGATATCGTCGACGACTGCCTGACGGACGCAAAACGAGACTTCGCATGGATCCCTCTCCCACAACACACACGCGCAGTGCTGTACACTGCATGTGTGTGTGCAAGGAAGAGGGCTCTCGCGCACCGAACCCAAACCACACACACACACACACATCAGAAAGACAAATAGGTGCCTGCCCGCCCCACCAACTACGAAAAACCCCCGCTCGCTTTCTCAGTAGACGCGCTTCATGGGTGGGACGTGCTCCATCTCGCTGTCGAGGGGCTTGTCGCCCACCGGACGGTACCCGACGTTCACCTGCAGCCATCACAACAGCCATCACGATTTATAAGTAAGAGGCTGTGCTGGGTGGGTAAAGGTGAGTTGTTTCTGTGTGACCTTGGCCTTCTCGACGTCCCTTGCTGTGAGCCATGTGAGGGTGTGCTTCATCCACGCCTTGTCGTCACGCTCCTGAACCAACCAAATAAGCAACACACACACACAGTGGATGGATGCTGTGTGGTGCTGTGTCTGTCTGTGTGTGTCTGTGTGTGTCTGTCGAACCAACCGGGAAGTCTTCCCTCGAGTGTGCGCCCCGTGACTCGCTGCGGTTCTCAGCGGCCACCATGGTCTGCGTGGCCTGGTTCAGCAGATTCTCCAGCTCCAACGTCTCTATCAGGTCCGTGTTCCTGATCATTGGTTGGACCAACAGATCAACAAGAACGTCACAGCTCTCTCCTGCCTGCTGTGTGGGGATGTGATGTTTGTATTATGTGTCTTGCTGACTGACTGACTGACCATACAGAGCTCTTGTCCTTGACGCTGACGCTCTCGAAGTCCTTCATCACGCCATACATCTTGTCCACACCTGACGGACAGACACACACCGCCAAACGACAAGTGAGTGAAGTGTGTGTCGGTGCCCCCCTCCCTCCCTCCCTCCCCGGCTAACCGACCATCTTTGAGCGAGGGTCCGTCCCTGAAGACGGCGGCGTGGTTCTGCATGATCTTCTGCATCTTGGTGCGGATCTGTGCGGTGGTCTGGTCCCCCTTGGCGTGTCGAATCTTGTCCAGACGCGCCAGCGTCTCCTCGCCGGCATTCTTGGGCAGATCTACCGGCTTGGCGTCTGACGTACGTGCATTGCGATCAGACAGATCAATCAGGCGTTGGTGCAGGTGAGATGAGGTGTCTGTCTATCCGTCTGCTTGTCTGTCTACACACACTGCCTACTCGGCTTCATCTTCTCGGAGATGGTCTCAGCGGCAGTGCGTCCGAACACCTAGAGACACCACACCGCACAGACAGACAAGGACAGGTGAGGTGCGCACAGCACAGCCACTGCACCACCCACCCCACTGGCACGCACCACAATGTCGAGCAGCGAGTTGGCCCCCAGCCTGTTGGCGCCGTGTACGCTGGCACATGCGGCCTCGCCGGCGGCGAGGAGGCCGGGTACGATAGAGTCCTTGCCGTCCTTGTCAGTGTTGAGCACCTCGGCCCTCCAATTGGTGGGGACGCCCCCCATATTGTAGTGCACCGTCGGCAGCACCGGGATCGGCTCCTGCAGTGTGGAGGCAGTGGACAGACAGACAGACAGACAGACAGGACAGATAGGCAGCACATGTGGTGTGGTGTGGTGTGGTGTGTGTGTCGGTTTGGTTCTTGCCTTGGTGACATCGACGCCGGCGAAGATGTGAGCGGTTTCCGAGATGCCCGGGAGTCGCTCCTTGAGTGTTTCTGGGGGCAGGTGGCTGAGGTCCAGGTGGATGTGGTCCTTCTCGGCACCCACCCCACGGCCCTCGCGGATCTCGATCGTCATCGAACGGCTCACAACATCGCGACTCGCCAAATCCTTGGCAGTGGGGGCGTAGCGAGCCATGAAGGCCTCACCCTGGATGGCCATACCATACACACACACGCAAAGCAAAGAGAGAGAGGAACATTTGCCCGTCCGTCTGTTGGCTGGTGTAGTGTAGGTGTGTGTTAGTGACGTCACCTCTGAGTTTCTGAGGATGCCTCCCTCGCCCCTGCACCCCTCAGTCATGAGGCAGCCGGCAGGGAAGATGCCCGTCGGGTGGAACTGAACGAACTCCAAATCCTCCATCGGCAGACCAGCACTGACACACACACACACACCGCGGCCGACACCCCATGCCATGTGTGTGTGTGTGTGCGGCATTAGCACCCACCCACCGTGAGACCATGGCGCCTCCGTCTCCGGTGCATGTGTGTGCGGATGTGCAGGACTGGTAGGCCCGTCCGTATCCGCCCGTGGCGAGCACTGTCTGGTGGGCGCCGAAGCGGTGGATGGAGCCGTCCTCCATGCTCATCGCCACCACGCCCTTGCACACCCCCTTGTCCATGAGCAGATCCAAAGCAAAATACTCGACGAAGAACGTGCAGTCGTAGTTGAGCGACTGACAGACCGACAGACCCACATGTGTGGTGCACCACAGCATCACAGTATTGTGTGTGTGATAATGAGAGAGGGATGTACCTTGTTTACCTGTCCGTAGAGAGTGTGAAGCATAGCGTGTCCCGTGCGGTCGGCCGCCGCTGCGCACCTGTAGGCCTGACCGCCCTTGCCGAACTTCAACGACTGACCACCAAAGGCACGCTGGTAGATCTTGCCTAAAACACACACACACACAGACACTCGTGCACCCATCTCATCTATGTGGCTGTGTCTGCCTGCCGAGTCGTGTTTCGTCAGTGACCATCTTTGGTCCTAGAGAAGGGCAGTCCGTATGACTCGAGCTCGAGAACGGCCTTGGGGGCCTCGCGGCACATGTGCTGGATGGCGTCCTGGTCGCCCAGCCAGTCGGCACCCTTGATGGTGTCGTAGGCGTGCCACCGCCAGTCATCCTCAGTCATGTTGCCCAAAGCAGCGTTGATGCCACCCTGACAAGGTTGACCAACACACACACACACACACACTCGGACACAGGTGAGGTGAGATGGGGTGGGGTGAGGTGAGGAGGTGCGTGCCCTGCCCTGCACACCTGTGCGGCGACGGTGTGCGATCGTGTGGGGAAGAGCTTGGAGATGCAGGCCGTGTTGAAGCCCTTCTCCGCCAGACCGAAGGCGGCACGCAGGCCCGCGCCGCCCGCACCCACCACCACGGCATCGAACCGGTGGTCGATTATCTTGTACGCTGGAGAAACACACAAACAAAACACCACATCCCCATCCACACATGACATGCGCAGAGAGCACACCGAAGAATGTATGTCTTCATCATCAGCAGCAGTGGGACTCTCTCATCGATTGGCCATGTTAGTTATCTGCTCACCAGGCTTTGCAGTGGAGAAGCAGCGGAGGCCAGCCTTGCTGGCACCCGCCCCTCGCCTCACAAACGACAGCATCGATAAGTACTACACCTCAAGAGTGGAATCTCAAACTCGGTCGCGTGCAGCGAGTCTTTTTTGCCGCAATGCCTCCCTCCCTGAGGCCTCAGACGTCTTCTACAAACTGGTTTTGAGGCAAGACAACGCAAAGACAGCCGCAGCCGATCTTTGCGAGCTTGACTTCGAGCTTAGCTCGCAGAGGTGGGGAGGAGAAGGAAGCAGAAGGAGATCAGCGTTTCTATTTCCGCAGATTACCGAGTTTTAAAGTCCTGTTTGTTCATCGCGAGTGACCTCACATTCATCAGGTCTGTCACTGACTGTCAGATCAGTCGTTAGTTGCCTCAGGCAGCCCTGTCAGATGGCCGGTCAGCTGGACTTGCGGGGAGAGCACAGCCGTTCGCATCCCGTGTTGCTGCCCGACCTCTCCCCGCACACGCCATACGCACCGCGGACCATCTCGGACCTGGTGCTGCTCGAGCAGGTCGCAAAGGCTGAGGTCGAGAAGGATGAAGAGCTTGAAGACGAGGCTGCTGAGCTCGAGGGGCCCGGCAAGCCTGTCACCTGGAATGCACTCTTTCAATCGGTACCAGACAGACATTCACTCCATAATGGGATGGATGGGTGGAGCTGACTGACTGTTTGTTTCTGCCTGCAGGTCACGAACGTGTCGTCAGCGGTGGATTACCACGAGACGACTCACCGGATGCCCATGCGGACGCCGTCTGGTCGGCTGGTCAAGGCGATCCCCATCCCCTCCTACATCCGCCTCAACCTCGACCCGCACTACAACGTGTGCGCCTCGCAGAGCGAGGAGGTCGTGCTCGCCGCACGGGTAAGTAAAGAGCTACCTGACCGACCTGACTCCCCAGCCACACACACGCAGGATTTGTGTGTGTCGATGAGTCGATGGTTGGGTGCTCTCTCTGTGCAGACGGTGCAGAAGCTGCTTGCGTTGCGTGACAAGTGGAACATCCGGTACCCCGACGTCGAGCCCAACACCGTCGTACCTGCCATGCCACAGCCACTCGGACAAGTGAGCGAGCGTCAAGACTTGAGCTGACCCCCGACCCGACCACACTGACATCCATCCATCCGCGGTGCCTGCCTCTTTCTTCACCTTGTTCGTTCGTTCGTTGGTCAGGGTTCCAACGAGCCCATCTTCAACCCGAGTGGTTGTGACATGCTGCCCCCGATCGACGCCGTCGTGTCGTTCGAGCGGGGCATCTTCCAGGTCTACTGGGAACCAAACACTGCGGCGGCCGCCGTGGCACTGACCGTCGAGGGCAACGGCAATGGCAATGGGCAGGTGGACCCCATCACACCGGGATTCGGACCACAGGTGGACCAGTATGACGACACAGGTCAGCTCAGCGACGATTGCCCACAAACAGACAGACAGATGGGCACTCGTCAAAGGGCACGTGTGTATGTGTGTGCAGACGAGGGTGGTCCACAGGAGACGGCCACGACCGATCAGCAGCCCCCGGTGAATCTGACAGAGGAGGCGGCCAACGGTCCGGTCCCCCCGGCGCCCGGCAGGCCGCCTCTGCTGTACGCCCACCGGCCCATCCCCCCGGTCGAGGACTACCTCGCTGACCTCAAAGAGATCATGCAGGCCGTCCAAAACCCAGGCACGGTGGCACCCGGACACACACACCATCCGGCCGTCATTTGGTATGTGTGTGTGTGTGTCAGTGTGCAAGACGTTTGCTTGGCGTCGGTTGCGTTATCTGGAGAGTCAGTTCAACATGCACCTGATGTTCAACTCGCAGGCCGAGCAGCAGGAGAGCAAAGAGACCCACCACAGGGACTTCTACAACGTTCGCAAAGTCGACACACACATACACCACTCTGGTGGGTGCGCCATCCTTCTACCCACCCCAGACACAGCCAGGCCACATGCCCCTCCCTCCCTCCCTCCCTGTGTGTCAGCCTGCATGCATCAGAAGCACCTCCTTCGCTTCATTCGAAAGAAGTACCGTTGTGAGGCAGACACGGTGGTGGCCAAGTCGCCGGGTGGCAAGGACCTGACTCTCCGTGACATCTTTGCTGAGGAGGTCGGATTCTCTGCGTACGAGGCGTCGACGGACCACCTGGCGGTGCAGGCCATGGGGTCGTGCTTCCAGCGGTTCGACCTCTTCAACAACAAGTACAATCCCTTTGAGAAGAAGACACTCAGGGACGTCTTCCTCAAGACAGACAACTTCATCGACGGTAGGGAGGGAGCCACTGACTGAACTGACTGATGGGGGGCGCCGTGGCACAGAGAGCGGTCTAGACACTCTCTCTCTGTCTCTCTCTCTCTGTGGGGGG